GTATGCTAATAATGTTTGTGCTTCAATCACATGGAAAAACAATATTGAAAAATACAACTTGTGTGGCAGCCACGAGCAATCGTTTAGGGCCAGAGCTCAGCCATTGTTTATATTGCCCAGCCGACACAGCGGAGGAAAGCAACCCAACACCAAACACCCATAGACCATCGACCATCGACCATGTCCCTTATAAAGAGTTATGACAATGTTGTGTCAAAGTGTTATTGTGCCGTATTTTGTTGCGCCACAAAAGCAGCGGCAACATTGGCGCGTTTAGATAGCCTGCAAATGATCCAATTCGGTTGGGGTTAAGCGGCCCAGTCGGTTCAAATATACGGAAGATGGAGCGATTTCAGCTATCTGTGCTTGATTGAGCGGTTGCCCATGTCCTTGAGGGCGCCATCTTCCTCCCTTTGGTGGCCTTCAACCGAAAGCCAGTGCTGTGCTGATGTCCTTAGCCCCTTTTATTAGATGTTTGGCAAATTATGCAGCACTTGGCTCTTGGCTTTGAGTGCTTTCATTTACACAGCCCGCAATGCAATGCACAAATTCTTAAACTTTTCAAACGATTTTTTTAATTAGTATCCAAGAGTTTGGAGTAATTTCGAGTAATTTATTTAGATGAAAGCCAGGCCACTGAGGCAAAGACAATTTCAAACCACAACTTCAAGTTGCAGAAATCCATTTTCAATTACACAAGAGTGTTCAACAGCAAACATTGAGATATGCTCAAAAGTTATCTCTGAGTATCCGGATGCAAGAACTCGATTTGATTGAAAATTAAGTAAAAAAGCAAGGTATACGTATACGTATAAACAAATTGTGTTGGGAAAATAGATTAATATTTCTTTGCGTTTGGCCAATCGAAATATTGAATTTTAATGGAAAACCCATTGAATAAGAGTGCCGGAAAAAGAAGCAGCTCTTAAGTGCATTTAAAACATTTTGGCAGCGGGTGTGGAGCCTGCATTTTGGATTCCGGCCAAATTTTCTATTTAGTGGTGCTAATGCTAATGGTTCTTGGCCAACCAACTTCAAAAACCTAACAAAACGAATGGCGTGAACATTTCACATTGCCCCGGGACATAACTTCTGCACCCACAGACTTTGTGGGCGTGGCAGTTGAAAAGTTGGCAGCCTCTGGAATTTACGGCACTCCGGCACAGAGATCAGTTAACGATTTGCCACCCAAATGCAGTGCCATGGTGACAAGTTGCTGCAGCCAGGTGGGTTGGCCCAAAAAACACGAAGCCATTGTGAGTGCTTTGAAGGGCTGGCAGGGATTGAATGAAACAATGACATCAAGGTGCCTGCCATAAAGCTCCTTAGTCACTCAATGCCCTGGGTATTTGTATGAGGTCGACAAAATGAACAGGAGCGATTGCAGTGGGAAAATGCCCTTTGTCTTTGTTTGTCTAGCAAATAATTAAGTACGTGATGTGTGTTTCGTGCTGAGACGTTTTTAAGCACTTTTCCGCAAACATTTGCACAGCAATTAAATGTTTTGCATGTCTGTTGGCACTGAGCAAATACTATCACATGTCAATGGATGCGTATCGGCTTTTGGATTTGGACTTGGATTTGCCACAGCATTTTGTCAGCCTCGCTCCCAGATTGCCAGCTTAAAAACTGTTCACGTGGCGCCATCGATGGCATTTGGAATTTGGAATGTGCTACGTCAACAGACGGAGGCAAAATGTGAAAAATGTGTGTCCCACAAATAAACAAATCAGGTGCCGCATGAAGTCCACCCCACTTGCCTCCTCATAATTTATGGCAATCCGGATGGAAGGGACTCCGACTCCCGACTCCCGACTCCCGACTCCGGATCCCAAGGCAAGGATCCGAAACCAATCCAGTCACCGGCAACTAAGGAGCCTAGCTGAAATATTGGTCAACATTTTGCCCCACTCGATTTGTTTATTATTTCCACCCAGCTCGGTTGGCAGAGCTCCAATCCAGGAGGCAGGAAACTCTGCCGGATCCGGACTCCGAAGACTTTTTCGAGAGCACAGGGCAAAAGTAAAATGGCAGCTGCCTCGTAGAAACCTCGAGTGTACTGGCATACATATATAGCCGTAATATGCATAAATATGCCAAATCACTTCAGCCAATTCGCTGGTTGACCTGGTTTAGTCAGTTTCGCCCGGGGTATTGGCTAGATTATTGTTTTAATTACCGCTCATTCAGCGAATCAAATGATTTTGAAAAGTTTGCGTAATGGTTCGTTTTTCTCGTTTTTTTGTTGCTGTGAAAAAGGGTTTTTCACAGGTCGGCGCAGGCGAAACTTATATACACTTGACCGTGTGTTGAATTTAATTAGTTATTTTTTGTAGCCCCAATATCATTGATATCCAAACATTGGTTAGTTTTCGCCGCGCATTTTAATGACTTCTATTGATGTGTGCACGTGCTCTGGTAACGCCAAACGCATTTCAAAGTGCCCTTTTTTATTCAGTACCACAATTTACAGCCTTTTTTTAGATATTTTATTAAAGTGAATATTCATTGAATATTCAGATTTAAAACTCTTGTGCATTAATTGAATCAAATATCCACTTCTACGGATAGTTCTCAGTTTCTGTGTTTGGTATTTCTTGTCTATGCAGTTAATTGGTATGTGGGCATCGCGACCGTTGCTGATTTTAGCCCGATTGGCTTTGCAAATGCCCGACAGTGGTTGTTGCACTCAAGTACTGGCCCTTTGAGCTCAAACTGGAACTCAAACTCAAACCGAGACCCCCGGCAGAATGTCCGGTGTGTAAACAATGGCACTGGGCCATACACTGCTATTTGATGCTTTAAATTAAAGCTCTGCGCACCATTAGGGCATCCTTTGCGATGGCAGGTCCTGAATATTATCTAGTGCTTATCGCTCACTCAGCGTGCTCGTCCATCGATACGTAATACTGCTGCAAGGTTGCGAGATTGTGGGTTATTTGTCGTTAATATGCAAACAGTTAACTGCAGCCACGCACATTACCGCAGCATGCGAGTGTGCGTGTGTGTGTGTGTGTGTTTATAGCATGGCTTATCGGCCCCGAATGTCCTGCATGTCCTGCATGTCCTGTATGTACGCCCTGCATGTCCGTGCTCGGCTCAAATAAGGCCGGGTTCAATCATAACCGGAAGCGGAAGTTAATTGTGCACATGTTTAATGCAGGCAATGGTTGATGGTTTAAGCACTATTCGCCCCTCCACAATGACAACAACAATTAGCGAGTGCAAATATGGTGGGGCAGCCGAAGATTACAAAATCCAGGCCAAAAACCAGCCGAATATTCGCATCCACACTGGCAAGCTGACGGGAAAAAAAGAAATGTAATTTGTCGCTAACCAAGTGTGTACTAACCTCATTTTACTAAAAGCATTAAAAATAAAATGTAATCACATGCTTCATAAAAGTAATAACTACACACACACACACATATACACGCACACAGGGACGCTCGTTTCTGTCTATGATAGAGCTTCCTGCACTTCAAAACGTGCCTGACTACGTGTCGCTATAAAAGTCCCTCCAGCAAGTGTGCGGAAGTGTGTGTCCTGGTTGTGTTCCACTCTCATGTCTGTCAGTGCCAAGAAGCAAATACATACTCCGTTTATGGGGCGAATAACGCAGCAACGTGCAAAATATGTGTCCTTGTCCGATCTTGAATAAATTATTACCTACTGCATTACTACCAAGTTTCTTCGGGCAAAGAACTCACATCAAATGAGACTAGTTACTCAAAGCACTGCGTGGAAATTCTGAAATAACTCGTAAGTTGCTGCGTGGCAACTCTAGCTATAATCCTGCAGCTAAGCCATTTTTAATCCTATATTTTCATTTACACGATAACTAATACTTCATTTATATATTCCCCGCATAAACGCTGCAAAATGAGTGCCATTGCCGCCATTGTCTATGTCAAAGAACTCATGGATACGCCGTACTGCCATTGGCGTCCATGTGCATTAATGTGCGTGAGCACATCTGATTTTTATGAGACGATTATGAGTTGCCTTTTATTATTTGCCATTGGGTCTGCCAAAGTGTTGCGGCAAGAGCACAGGAGCATTTGCCATTCGAATTCCCCACCAATCAGGCGTTTTTTCAGGGGCAAGCTCTTGAGCATTAATTAGTGTCAACACATAAGCCGACTTCGAGCTGGAAAAACACCCGAGTTGCTGAACAAAAACGTTTTCAGGTGCTCCTAAGCCATTGCAGCTGCAGTGGGCTTCCTTAAGCTCTCGTCGATGGGTGAAATGAAAATCCGAAATGACTTTGCACCCTGGCTTCCACTACAGACAGCTGATCACTGAGGAAAAAGAAGGGGTTTTTCCCTCAACACCTCTTACATATTAACCTAAATTGATAACGAAATACTAAGATTTTTCCTTTGAAAAGGGTAACAATGTATATTCGAAGTGTGAAACAAATGTTTTTTGTTTAAAACACATTACTTTCGCAGTGCTCCTGACAAAACCAGTGTGAATGAAATAAAATCTTCCAGCCGCTTCACAAATTTGCCTGATACCCAAAGTGTCAAGTGTCAGGCAGCTCGTTAGAGTCCTAAGTCAATTCGGAAGAAGAGCATTGTCATGTCGCATATGACAGCAAACAGTTGCAGTTTATTGGATCCTTCACTCCGTTGGGCATTTTACTTTTCCCAAATTTAAAAGTGAATAAATACAAAATTCATCCTGATTAATGAAGTGCCCTACAAAGTTTGAGATTTGCCGCATGACCTACAGCACGCTGCTGCTCGACTTGACATCCACCCACACTCACTAGATTCAATTCGATTTATCATAGAGCGCTGGATATTTTGCTTTAGGCCCCAACTTGGAGCCTACTCGTGCGCATATATATAAGGGGAGTATGGGTAATCTGCACGCTCACTTGGCCACGAATCTGTACGTGGCAGCCAAGGCCTGAGTGGCATGCTTCAAGGACACTTACACTCCAAAATGTTGTTTTCCTGGAAACAATTATGAAGTGAAGAAATGCAACTTAACAGAAAGCTGACACACCAGTAAATATTCCTTCATTTATTAATGCGTTTCTGCTGAAGATTTCTTTTATATCTCTCCTTTTAATGGGGTTTAATGGACACAAGCGACTTTACAAGTGTATCTTACAGATACATTAGTTTACGTATGAAGCCCTGACAGACTGGCCGTGCGTGGCCAACAAGCCCAAGTATCCCCAGGATACATCCTTAGTCCCGAGTCCTGAGTCCTACACGAACGGTCAGTGGCCGTTGGCAAAAGTTTATAATAGAATTTTTAAGCATGAATAATTATGTGAAGTAGTCTTTCGGCCAGCTGCTGTTGCTCGCTGCTGCCTTGATTGCCTCTTGTCCTTTTTTTGATTATGCACGGGCAGACATCAATTTAGCTAATTAGGTTAATTGACTTTAATTTAATAAGCACGCGACCAGACTGGCCAACAATAATCGATTCGAAGAGGTCATTTAAATGGGCGCACTTGTGGATGTGCTGTTTTGGGCGACTGTCTTCAGGCTTTTGGCGCTGAAGCTGATGCTAAACTGAATGCAGATCACAATGTAGCTGATCATTCCAAAAATAAACTAGGAAAACAGATTACTTATAGTATTTACTAAAGGAACTGTTCAAATTGCTTACCTTTCCCAGCATTTCTGTGTTTATGTCCACCATTCCGCCTGCACTAAACCTATATTTCTCCTGGCTCAACTGCAGGTTTAGACTTCTCAAAGCCGCATTTAGCTGACTATTACGTCGATCTGCGGTGACTGTGTAGAACATTGACCGGAACTTTCGCTGCATTGCATCGCAACGTGTGCAGACATAGCAGGGCACCACAATTTCCAGTAGTTTGATGCACTCATCCATGGCGACATCTGTTGGAAAGGAATGTATTTGTATGTATTTGAATTTGTTTATACTAACAGTGCTGGATGGACACTTGTGTGTGCTGAACTCTGCTGAGGTAGAGCCAGTAGGGCAATGCAGAGGTGTCGATGAAGAACTTCATGAGCAGGGTGATCAGGCTCAGTTGAAAGTAGTTCTCCAGACACCGGATAGCCTGCCACAAGGAGTTATGGATTGCCTGCAACTTGGCCAACTTCTGCAGTGACAAACGGCGTATGGACGACATCTCAAATCGGGTTCTGTGCAGCTCATCCAGGACATTTGACCCGCCGACGATGAGTTCTTGATAAAGAAACAAAATCACAGCACAGTACAGTGTGAACTCGGAGAAGCGAGCCAGCAAAACCAATTCCGAGTATGTGGCGTATAAGGTAAGAGCGCGATCACTGTACACAGTCACTACGATAAATATTAGCCATCGTACGACTAGGGATCCGTAGATCCAATTGCAGTATTTCCGCACACGATCCGTCTTATCCAGTGTACCCAACTGCAATTTGATTTGGTTGTGGACCGCCTGCAGCTGCCTATCCACATCCTTGCTGCAGTTTGCCCACAGTAGCTCCAATACGATGATCGCATGACCCACAACTAGGGCAACAAAGTTGCTCAGGTCGATGGTGCTGGAAAATCGATCGTTCAGGAAATCGTAGTCCAGTTCATAGTCGAAGCTGAAGCGCCAGTAGCTCGAAAATACCAGCGATATAAAGAGCAGTACATAGCAGAACACTTTCGCGCAGAGATTCTGACCAAAAGGCAGCATTCCCAAGCACTTCATCAGTCGCCTCATGTGAAGCAACGAAGCGGCGTGCAGTTCTGCCGGCATTTGTGCGATTACTGAAAGTGACCACAGGTTCTCTCAGTGGCTGGTGTTTTGTAATTGGCTAATTGCTGTTGTCGGACAGGGAAAAGCCAATTAATATCTGGGGTGGAACACTTTGGAAAATTGAATAAATGAAGTGTCAAAAAATCTCCATTACACTTATGAAAAATGTTTCAATTTGTCGTCCCCAACTGAGGCTGCCTGCCTGCCTGGCTGCCTGCTGATAAGATCCCTTTTGTAATCACCCGAAATGACACATTTCCCATTCAAATTAGCATCAAAGTGATGTTAGAGCCAAGTGGCAGCAGATGCCCCAGTGGCCATAAGTGAAATGATTTGTTAATTTCATTTCGCCACCACTCATGCACACTCACACTCAAGCACACAATCGCAGCTCGTGGGGGCGATGAAAATTGCTTATCAAAAATATGGAAAAGACGAAGGGAGGGAGACGAAGGGGCCCCACATAAATTTGCATGCCTTTATTGCAACCACAACGAGGACTGGCAAACAAACGGGGAAACGAACAAACACGCATGCGAAGCCCGTTGCCACAGAAGGCAGACACTTACATCCGCTTTACTGGCTTTTATGCAACCACCGTGGCACTTTGTTTGCACACTTGTAAAACACCTGCAGAACGAACGAGCGAGCGGGCGAACGCCTTTGGCGGGAATATCAGTATGTGTTTGTGTACAAAATAATGACTTAATTGCCTCGCCCCCTGGCCGCCCAAAGGCCACCCAACCAAGTAGCCACCCAACCAGCGATTGATCCAGCCGCGTTTCCACGTCTGCGAGTGGGCTTCATAATTCCGCGCAGGTGTCGAGGAGGCTTTGTCTTTGATTGTTCGTCTGGAGTGACTCTAATCTCTGCCAGCCACACCATCAGCGGCAGGATTGTCGAGGCATATATGTTCTGCTGCACGAGAATCGCAATCTAGGGCACTTGAAGCTGAGGCCTCTGGTCTGGGGTTCAATTGAAGCAATTGTGCGGCGTTGATTTGTATAATTTTGTAATTTGTATACCAAAATGGTGGCCACACATGTGCGCTGGGTGGGGCAAGCCATTTCGCCAGTTTGGGGTAAAAACGTGTATAAATAAATTAAAATGTATGCGCGGGTGGGAGACATTCAGTTTTGGGGCGCTGCAAGAGTTTTAGGGCTTAAATATATACCCAAGCTTGATGACATGTTGGCTTAATACAAATAATTCAGTTCGTACCAGTGATTTCCAGTGATTATTTCCCATAAATGTAATGCATACAAGTGGGAGAGTTATGTAAATTAATTAAATTGATTATGTATGGCAATAAATTAAGTTTCAGCCATTGCTAAACACTGACTAGATATTCGCATTTTTAATTACATGCATGAAATTATAAGTTTATACAAACGGATTTCTGGATTATTTAACATATTACCTCATTCGGGAACTGCTCATCCGCCCCAATCGCAGTAATGCGGCAGTTGCTAAATGTAATTATCGAAATTCCTGCCGCACGATGACTTGTCTATATGGTTATGATATGCCATAGGCAATGGGACTACTAAGCACCCATACACGTGGCCGCGAGGATTGCTACTCTGAGATGCCAGGAAGTGGAAGTGCGGTTAGTGGGTGCGGCTGGAAGATGCTCAGGCTGAGCTAACTTGGTTTATATGGGAGATTCTAGTGCTGCAAGCTGAGCATTAGACACGCTCCTGTGGAACAGATGCTGATGACGACTGGAGGAGTGCCCCACTTGGGGACTCATATGTGGTGGTCTGTGTAAGTCAGTGCGAGTTATCTGATTTTAATTTGGCACAATTTCCCTTTTCGCACCTGTTGTGACCTGTGCTCCGCTTTCGTCAGCCCATTAAAAATATGCAAATATAAATATGCTAATTTGCAGAAAATTGATTTTGCAATTTAATTGAAAATTCCATGGCAGTCGTGTTGTGGTTGTTTGTGTGGTGCTGGTGGTATCCAGAATGGTGTGAGTGCTCTACATGTGTCTTGTAGCTGCGGTTGTTCGAGCAGCTGCCACAAATTGCATAAATACGAACAATACTCGCAACATTTCCATCCTTCGCACATCATTTGCAACTTTTTGGGGCTACGCCGCTTTTAATGGCATTTAAATTGCCAAAATTACAGCACGCATCGCCCAGAGCACCGAACCGGAAAAAGAGAACGTAGCTGCTGTGCTGAAAATCAATAGGAACAAAGTTCAATTCGGCTTAGAGCCATTGCCACTTCCTGACAAATGCCACGCCTGATATATGGCCCAGACTGGCTCAATAAATTCCATGTCACTTTCTCCGTGTCGACTTGCAAAAATGCCCTCCCCTTGTTTGTGGGGCAGGATGTGTGATAAATGTGCGGCATTTGGCGCGCAATGCAAACATGGCACCTTAAACTACAATCAAAAATAATTGCATTTTCCACCGGCCAATCATTATGAGAGATGGGCGAGGGAGGAAAAAGCGCAGATGGACTGGCGAAAAAGCACGGAGAAGTCACAAGTCCGGACAATCCCTGGCCAGACAATTGCAAAAAGTCAGCCAAATGGCAGCTAACATGGCCAGCTAAGTGATAACAACACGTACGATTGCGGCCGAGATATTAAGGCAAGGGTAGAAACTATTCGCAAAAGGGTAAGTGTTTCAGGAAAGGATATGAACAAATAATTTTAGAATTTACAAAGTTATTAAAGCCAACTGCAAAGGCGTCTTCAACTTATTTTAGCAGCAACTTATTTTAGACCGGTTACTATGGCTTGTGTGCTATTTGAGCATTTTCATTGCTATAAGGCTACCCCCAGCTGTACGTGTGTGTTAGTTTGGAAACATCATTTATCTTGTCTTGGCGGCGAGTCCAAGTCGCCTGCAGTCCGCTGACTTGGAGCTCCGAATCGGACGGGACTGCGCAGTGACCGAGACAGCCAAATATATATTCTGGATGGCTATAGCTATTTATTGCCGAATTGGCTTATTTTCTCTTATATTTAGCTCGCAACGCAGACGTGGAGTGGAATGTTTGGCTCTATTTTTCACTATAATTGGCAAGGTTAAACGGGGTGAGGCCTCGGAGTTCATTGATGTCAAATGGAAACTCGAATTGTGTGTTTTGCCGCGGCGCAAAGGTCACTGGGACAATTATCAAAAGTAGCGAGGACTGCTGGGGATTTGAAGCGTAATGACAGCTCGCTGTTTGCGTGCTTGCCTTTCGATTTCTTACTTTGCGCTTTTTATTTCGCCATTTGGCTGGATGGCAGACAGCGCAATTAGGCCAGCAAATGTGGCGAGCGAAACGCGCGCTGCGAAATGGCCGAAATGAATGTCCTGCCCCGGGCTCTCACATCCAGACACACCCACACGCAAGGACACTAGGACGCCAGGACACATCCTTTGCCCCTCTTTGGGGCAAACAATCGAAGATTTATTGCCCCTCGGCGCATTCTTTGGCACTGCGAATGTGCAAATTCGCGCTGAAATATATTCCCAGCAGAAAGTTGTGTAGGCGGCCCCTATAAGTGTGCTATACTTTTGCCACAAATCATAATCGATTCATTGACAAGTCGTCGCTCCATTTCCCTATCCCCGCCCCATTTGCTACGGTTTTCTTAAAGAGATTAAGAGAAAATATATAATCGCAACAAATAAAAATTGCAGTTCTGTGTAAAGTCAGTGACTCCTGACATATCTTTTAAACTCTTGCTGAAGAAAGTTGCTAAAATGTAACGACAGTATTGTTGGCAAGAATATATGATTTTTAAAGAGTGTGCTTCGTTCAGTACTTGAGTCAAATTTCAACATTATTTAAGGCTCAGAAAAGCAATATCTAGTATTTAAAATTACTCAGCTCGCAGGCTTGTTTTGGTGCGGATCATTTGGGCAGACGGGATTAGTCGAATTAGGAAGTGCCGGCTCGGGGTTTTCATCAATTTGGGGCCAAGGACAAGTCGAGCCTTTAAGCCGATTCCCCTTCGCCTGTCGACGTTACACATGACGAGCTTACGGCTGGCCATTGAATATTTACCAATGTGTATGAAATTAAGACTGAGATACTTTGAGGCAACAAGCAGCTCAGCTGACTGCCAAGGTGACGGCATTTCAGACGGGTGCTAAAGGTTTTTGCTTGCATGGGTATTAGGATGCGGAGTCCTTGCACAAGGACTCAAATCCGACGTGCACGAGATGCTGCTTATTGCTGTTTACCATATTTTCGCTTATTTGTTTGTCGACTCTGGCAAATATTTGAATTTGAATTCAAACGTGCTTGACACATAATACGCCGCCCGAAGCCCCACTCCTCGTAGCCTATTTCGCTGTGCAAATATTTTATGAATTTCAATGGGCCAACAGCATTGTGGAGTGGGCGTGGTGCAGCCTGGCAGGTGACACAAATGCGCCGGCTAATAAAAGGCAACAAAATGTGAAATTAGTTTGACACGTGTACCGGCGGGAGAGAAAATGGAAAATAAAGAACTCGAGCACGGATCAGACAGCTGCAGAGATTTTCGCGTTAAAATAATGTCGGCTTGGGTATTCGATGCTGACAGGACACCCCCTTGCTTGAGTATTTATGAATATCCTTGAAATCCACACCCAGCCTAATTATATGCGTTGCTTGTGGCATGTAATGCCTTTCAGTACTGGAATGTTGCTTTAATGTTCCTGCGAAAATAATGACTCCTTGTCGCAATCAGTGAAATAATTTCATTAAATATTTTCCCATCTTAATTATCCGGCCACTGTTGTATTTCGATATTGCACTGTAGTCGTACTTACCTTTAAGCTCTGCCAGCGACCACACACAGGCGTATATGTTTTCAAGGAAATGCCTGTAAGAAAGGCTGAAAGCCATGGTATCAGTAAATGCCGTCTGACAATCGCATCCGCACAAACACATCTCACCACAAATCTACTTAAAACGCAATTAAGTTGAATGCAGTATGGAAATGCTGCTGGGAATTCGGTTCGCTGACGTGCCTACAGGAGGGCGAAGCGAGGTCCTTCCAGTTAAACAATGGCAGACAGTATAAAGATCCAGATGCATAAGCCCACACCCCCACTCACCCACTAGCTACACTTTCTCCTAGAGCTCCGCATGTGCAGGCTAACGTAATTTTCACAATAAAATATTCCGCGAAAGGAAAATAGTAAAGAAGATGCTACCGCGCTTGATGCGACTGAAAGAAAAACTATCAGAATAATCCGCGCGGTAAATTCCTCAGAGAAGTTGTAATATTACACTGGAGAAAATGTAACGAATTCGGCGGGCAGAAGACACTCCACTTCCACTAATGTGTTTA